GAGCCTCTGGCTTCCAGGGGGGCCACGGATGGGTGCACCCCTGTGAGCCACGCCCAGCTAGTGACAGCACTGAGGAGGTGCCAGTTGTGCGCAAGCCCCACTCCAAATGCTTAGATGCATGAACAAATCTAATCCTCAGCGGCGACCCTAGCAGGCACATGCGGTTAATGATTCTTGATAGATGAGAAAGCTGAGCACAGAGTTGCCCTGATTTGGCTGAGGTCCTGCATCCTACAAAGAGCCAGTTTGGCATGTGTGTATTCTGACAGGAGAGCCGGGGTGCCTGACTGCAAGGCTTGGCCACCTCCCTCCGGCAAGGGTCACACTTTGCTCACATAGTTAAAAATGCACAGGCCTCCCACAGGTTTCAAGGCGCTAATGCCTCCCAGGAATTCCAGCAAATGCTTTCAGACTACTTCAGAGTGTGCAGGGCATTCAAGGGCTCCATGGGAATCATGCTTCCACCAGTGTATTGATTGGTGGAGGTCACCAGGAGGTTAGATTGTTAAGATCGATCATTGCAGGTTTTTTAACTAAACCCTTTGATTCAGCAAGCATTTATTGAGCTCCTACTGTTAACTAGATACTGTGTTCGGTGTTGGGAAGAAATATGAGTAAAACTTGGCATCAACCCTCAAGAAGTTCGCAGTTTAGCAGACTTGCCCCGTGTACAATTGCTGTGGAAACAGAACTCTGGAGTGATGTTTTATCAGCTCAGCACTGGAGTTCAGAGAGGTCTGGCTTCTATTGGTTTAGATTGAATCCCCATGAAGTGGTAGCACACGGACATAATGTTTCCTGACCAGTTTTATGCTCCATTACAGTGCAGAGCTGTGTGAGGAAGGACATGTTCAGTCTGGGTGGTTTGAACAGAGATGAGCTGAAGCTACTCCTCATCCCTCCCAGCAGGGCCTGTGCAGGGAGGCAAGGCTTGGAGTCAGGCTGCCCGGGTGCAAGTACTAGTTTGATTGTTTTCTGGCTACGTGATCTTGGGAGAATTATTTCATCTCTCTGAACCTAGACTTCCTTATCTGAGAAATGGAGGAAGCAGTCACCCTTAGAATTCTTTCAAGGACAAGTTAAATTACATGCAGAACTGGGTAACAGTGTCTATCACATTGCAACCAACAGAGGAAGTCCTCCATAAGGGTGTGGAAGTTGGGGTTCCTATGGCCAGGACCCTCACTGAACTTAAACCACCTGATGATGCAACTGGCCTGTTGCTAGACTACTGCTTTCACACCTTTAGGCAATAAGCTATTATTGTGCTATATAGAGAGCCCGGCCCAGTGCTCTGGGAGGAGGCAGAGATGCTAGTGCTCAACCCACTGCCAGGAGAACAAGCCGGGTAATAAACCCTTTCACCCCAAGAACGTTTTGCTGTCAATTAATTTGGTCACATTGAATCTATAGTGAATTTACCTGGGGCTGAAACCCATTAGCAAGACAATAAGTATAAGCTATTTTGATTATTTTTTGGCGTTTCGGCAGTACTGTGGAAGACTTTGTAGTAAAAAAAAAAAGGATTATAGACCCTTTCCTCCTGTTTCTCCCCCAGGCAGACAGCACACAGACCCTGAGGTGAGAGATGGGGTGACCAGCCCAGCAATTCTTGCTTACATTTCCTTTTTCTTGGAAGGCAAAGTAACAAGGGATCATTTCCTCTGGATTTGACTCAAGTTGGTGATGCCCTTGGGGGGACCTGGAGAGAAAGCCAGTGAGCACCCCCATAAGCGTTGGGGCCCAGAGCACCCACTCCCCTCCTACAGCCCTTTGGGCCACTCTGGCTGCCCCATCCTCTCCTCCAGCATGATCTTGGCCTTCTTATCTTCCACCACTGACTCTGACATTGGAGTGTGCAGCTCGGTGGCCTGGTCATCCCAGATGCCCTCTGCAGGGCAGGGTTCGCTTCTTTATCTGTGGGTTCCCATTCCAGGGCCTTTTCTACTAGAAATGGGATGTACCTAGTGGGCAGGTCGGATTTCCAATGGCTTCTCTTTCCTCAAACCCTATCAGCTCTTCCCCATGATCCAGCAGTCATGCTGGATATTTGGACCATGATTTCCTTGTGCACTTTACTTTTAAAACTTCTTGGAGTTTTTATTGCTTCCCTTTTTTCTTCTTGATGAGAGTAAATGTATTTTCTGTACACTGACAGTGACCTTACATTCCCACATGAACCCGCAGCCCTCCCTGCTTCCGTCTGATGCTCACCTCTCTACAGATTTGGTTGCTCCCTGGAAGTTTCTTGGATTCTTTCAATCTTGCGTCAGAAATTTCACAAAAATGTGTGACTTTATTCTAGCTATTCACATTGCTCGATATTCAGGCACTTCTGATCTGGATATTTTTTCTATAGTCTTGAGAAAGTTCCTTCTATTTTATTGACCACTTTTTCTCCTTATTTTTCTTTGTTATCTTCTCCTTGAGTCTCTGTGTCTTACTTTTTGTCTCACATTTTATTTGTGTGAGGGAGGGTTTTACTTTGTGGGAAATGCCTTCAAATTTTACTTTTAGTAATTTGTTATTTTTAAGCTATTGGATGTTCTTCTCCATGGTACCCTCTTGTTATCTTATTGCTACAGTTTCTCCCTGATTGGGTGTTTTCAGAGTCCCTGTGATTCCTGAAATACTTGTTTCCCAAGGAATCTACTGTCTCCGGCTTACACTGTTCCAGTGATTTTCCCAATGTCTGACGATTCTGGCTGTGTGCTCATGTATGAAGGGCCAGGCTGTTCATTTAGGGCTGTTGGTGTTGGGGACTCACCTGTTCTAGACCAGGAGATCTGGCTCTTCCATCAGCCCTGCAAGAATTAGCAGTATGACTGGGAGCTTGATGTCAGTGAGCGGGTTTCTGGGCTGGAGGATTTTGCTCGTGGATGTAGAAATGGCAAGCTAGCTACTAATCTGGGCTCCTTCCCAAACCAAATGTTAGACTTAGGAGAACTTTGCTGGGGGCACCCATTCCCATACTCTCAGCCTTAGTTCTCCCCAGAAAACCCATAGATTCCCTGTGCACACACACACATATTAGGTATGCAAAAACTTTAGTGCCCCTGTAAATCATCTGTTTTCTGGAGTGCCAGTACAATGCCTGGCTCTAAGTAAAAATGCAAAATTGTTTCAACTGACCGTATAATAGTAGCACTAGCTTTTATGTATTCACTTCTGAGAAGTAACCACTCATTAAGATATGCTCACTGTACCCGAGCAGCTAACAGGCTATGGAAGCTTCTAATGGAAGAAACAGATGTGTAAACAAAACCCTGTAATAAAGAGATAAGTGCGACAAGATGTGTTTGCACAAAATGCTGGTGAGCTGAGGAAGTGATATGAAGACTGAACCAAGAAGGGGAGGGCGGGAGGGAAGGACAGCGAGGGAGACGAGCAGAACGGCAGTGGAGGGCAGGTGGCACCTCTGGGTCCATGTGCAGCCTCGCCCTCTGCGGCCAGGCTGCCTAGGTTCCGTTCCTTCTTCTGCCACTTCCCTGGAAAAGTTATCTTCCTTTGCCCATTTCCTCACTTGTAAAGTGGGCACATGAAAATAGCCCCAACCTCATCCCTTTTGTGAGGATTAAATGATTGCTCTACACAACAGGCTTCAACAGTGCCCCCTCCCATTCGGTACGTGAGTCCTTCTTATTACTGCTGTTACCTCTTGGTGGGGCCCTGAATGGTGAGCCCCGGAGCCAGGGCACGGGCAGGTCTCTCCAGAAAGCAGGCACCGTGGGTGAAGGGCAGGCATGCATGGAGAGCAGGGGCTGGAGCCACAGCAGAGCGGGGCTGGCCCGGGTCTCAGGAGCCCGTGGGAGCGGCGTCCAGCCCCCGCCCGCGCTCTCCGGCTCGAGGCGCTGTGTGCAGAGTAAGCCATGCAATTAATGGGGTTGGGGGCTCGCCAGCCTGTTTACATTTCAGCTTCTGCAGACCCCGTTCAGTGGGGGCGCGGACACATCAGGAGCCCAAAGAACACGGAAATGCCTCCCTGCGGAGGACAGTCCAGGAGGTGACGGATTGAAATGAATGAGAACGCTCATTACCAGGGGTGGGCGGAGGAGGGTCAGGTGGTCCAATGCGAGGTGGGGGTTCGACCTGTAGGTCTTTGAGTTCTAGAATTTGGTCCAATGTGTAGAAGGTACAGAAAGGCAGGTTTGGCAAAACAAGAGCTTTCTGACCACCTAGAGCCTGGGAGCCGGGAGGGACAGAGCAAACGCGCCGTCGGGGCTGCCCTCGGGGCGGGGCTCGGCTGCCTGTGCTACCCGTGTCCCGCAGGCCCTGCGGACCCCCGCCGCCACGCGGGCCCACCTCCGGGCCTGGATGCACCCCTCCGCCACTCACCCCGGCTCTCGGCACCCTCTCCCCGCTTCCCGCCCCGACGACAGCTGTGCGTCTTCACTTTGCTCTACAAGACGAAACTGTCCTTTCCCTCCGCCGGCTGTCCTACAGTGTCCAGCCGCCCTCCCTCAGGCCTGGGAGGGTCCTGATGAGTGTCTGTCCCCCGGCCGGGCAACCGACAGAGGCCGGGCGCTGGCTGCCGCTGTGGACCTGGCTCCCCATCTGCCTCGGTTTCGTTGAGGGCTTTGACAGAGGGACAGAGCCGCGTACGTGGCTGCTGTCCTGCCTGGACCCGAGGTTTCCAAGTCCTACAGCCGTTATTTTTCATTCTAGAGGCTTTCAGAAGTCGAGGCTCATCATCAGATTCATTCGTATTCAACACAGAAGAAGGGACAGTCTCAGATGCTTGCGGCCTTACAGAGGCTTCAGAGAATAAGGTTAGAATGGTAAGAACCCCAGGTCACTGGGACAGCTTCTCCCAAACCCAGCCAGTGGGCCTTGCTGCTGCGCCCTGTGTCTGATGCTGGGCTGTGCAAAATCAACAGTGTGCACAGGGCACTGACGGCTTCGTTCTCCTCCATTCAGCCCTGGGAATGCCAGAGCTCAGCTCAGAATGGAAAATTACATGTTGGAGAGAAAATAGCCCCGCTGAAGGAATGACAGCACAATTCAGGTCCTGCTTGCTCACAAATTTTATTTGGTGAAGGAAGAAAAACAAGAGAGAGACAGAACTCCATGGCTGCATGGATTCTCAGAGAAGAGAAGGTCCTGTTTCACTTTCCTCAGTCCAGTTTAAACCCACAGATTAAATAAAGTCCAAAAGATGAGATGAACATCTTGCTGGAGAATAAAACATGAGGGAAGAAAACCCTTTCCCTGGTTAGTATCTGCTCGGGCTTCTCAGTGAGGGTGGCTGGCTTTGTCTGCATAGAATGTGACAGTCTGTGGGAACTGCTGGGGTTGGTATTCGAGGGGAGCACGAAGGCCGGGCTGCTGGCTCGTGACTCTGCCAGGGCCCAGGCCTCAAAAGGTCTGCCTGGCAGTGGCCGCAGGGACACTGTGAGCGTGCCTGTGAGGGAGACACGATGCCACAGGGCAAGAAGGGAATCTTGGGCATCACAGTTCAGGACCCCCGTTATCAGATGGGGAAATTGAGAGGTCAGTTAAATGATCGCCCCAAGGTCACACAGATTATTTAGTAGCCAGGACTCAAATGTCCTGGCTCCTAATTCAGTGTGTGATTGGACAGCACAGAAATAGATACTCCTAGTATTTGTGCCACTCCCAAGATTCCAAAGTGGGAAATTTTAGCCTTTTGAGTGAAGAAACCTGCAGAGAACAAAAAAGATTTGAGGAGCATTCCAATCATTTTGTATCCAATCTCAGGGACCTCATGTTCAAATACAGTTAAAAGATTCTTTGGGTCAATTCAGGGACCTTGATTTTTCTATGAACACAAAGGACAGTCTCTTCCACATTGTGGGACAGGAATGGGAGGGGCACCACACAGGGGAGATGAGAAAAAACAGTATTAGAAACTAAATCAGCTCACACTGGCTGCGGGGAGTCTGGTCTAAACTGTTGGGTGCTTTCCAATAACACAGAGAACAGCACAAAGTCACAATGCATGAGGGGGGCTTTCAGGGGGCTCCTGGTGGGCACCCAGAGGCACCATGGGCAGCCCGGCGCATGCATGGTGGACACACAGCGCCAATCCTAGCTGACCGCACGTACCTGCCAGGGTGGCACACGGCCATGGGGCACGGCTGCGCCAGGGCCTAGCCGCCTCAGAGATGGACCTGCTCCATCTGAACGCCACGCCCAGACTGGAGGGGGCGGTCTGGGGGGCACTGCTCAGGTTGCTGATACAGGCTGGACATTCTGCACCCTGGACAAAGTGACTGGAATCTGGGCTTCCCCTGGGCCTGGAGGTTTGGTAACGGGCTGGGCATGAGCCTTGATGTCTGCAATTCGCTCTTTAAACTTTTGCTGAAGGAATCTTTCTTCTTTGGAGTAATTCTTTGTGAACACTGACATCAGCAGGCAGCCTGCCATGGACATGCCCCCAATGCAGAAGAAAACAGCTCCTGCCAGCTTGCATGCGTCAAGGGCTCCGTTAAACTGGACAGCGTGCCTATCGACCATGACAAAATCGGCTTCACCAAAGGCTTCGATTTTGGGGGGCACAAGGAAGCCCCCGGCCAGGACGGTCACCCCGAGAATCACGAAGACTGTGCTGAAGATGAGTCCGACCTGGAAATGACACAATGAGGTGACATGGATGAGCAGGTGCCGCTGCAGCCAGGACAGCCTTGGTTTTGGGGAGACGTGAGTATCCCAGTCACCCCAAGTTTGTATGAGAAGCCTTGGAACTTTCTAGTTAAAAAGGAAGGTGAAAGGAAGGCTTTCTTACTTTAATGGCCGTGGAAATCACAGCATCCCCTGGGCACCCCAAGTGCACTGTCAGTGTGGTGCTCACAGCCGACAAAGCCCTCTCACCTCCGTCTCCTCCTCTGCTCCCGAGGAGGACAGAGTGACCCTGAACTCCAGTGGCTGGCCTGGAGTGCACAGTGAGGCCAGGAGGTCCTCCTGCCCACAGAAAAATGCCAGTCGGCCCCCACCAGTCTGAACGGCCACTGCTCCCATGCCAACTGCACTCCATCAATTACATCCTGCAGCACCACGGCCTCCCTGAGCGTGTCACCTGCGAGTGTTCTGACGGCTGCCGTGGCCCTCTGCCTGCCACACACAGCCAGGCCACAGTGCTGCTAGGCTGGGGTCCAGGTCCTCCGACATACCCCCTGGGGGATGGTCCTGCTCACGGCCCTTCACCTGGCAGCAGTGGCCTCCACCCTGGGGACAGTCCCTCCAGTGCAGGAACGTGTCCCTCACGTCCATCTTTGAAAAGTCTGTGTTCTCTCTAACTGCTGGACTGGACTCATCCCTGCCCTTGACCCTGCATGATTCTCTGAGCTTCCTCTGGGGCCACTATTGGCCTCCTAATCACCAGCTGCAAGTGGTTTCCTTTTCTATCCCATCTGACGCCCGGTCACCGATGTCAAGCTGCTGCGGGTACTAAGCCCTCGCTGTCATCCCCACATTGCTCCCCTGGGTCCTTCAGCAGCTCACTCTCACCCTGCTTTGCCACCTAACCTTGAATGATGGGTGCTCCCAGGCTTCCACTCTTGACCCACATCTCTCATTCACACATTCTTTCTAGGGTTTAATTTGTGGCCATGGTCTCACCACACCCCCACTCCATGCACCGATGATGGTTCCAGATTTCCAACTCCTGCTGCACAAATCTGTGCAGAGGGCAGTGGCTGCAGGCTCTGGGCCAGTCGGTGGGGCTGGGGCACAGACAGAGCACACACTGTGTGTGTGCATGTGTGTGAGGTACCCTTCCCCAGAAAGCCCACGTCTATTATCTTGCCCCTCATGGTACACAAGCTGGAAGGTTCTGGAGAAATTTCCATCTCCCAGCCTCTCCAAGCCTTCTGTGATCCGGCTCTTGTCTACATTCATCCCGACCCCATTCCTCCAACTTCTAACTTCCCCCAGGGTGGCCCCGGTAGGTGTGCTCTGTCCCCACACTCTGCACTCCTGTAAGTATTGTGCCCACTTTTAGGGGATGGCTTGTCATGCTGCATGGTGACAACTGGCTTCCCCACTGGCCACGAACTCCTTTGGGTCAAGGCTCTATCTTATTCACAGGTGATAGGTGTTATTTATGACTGAATCCAGAGCCTACCTACAGACTTGTGCATGGTGGACATATAAACATGTGTAGAAAGAAAGAACAAACAGCATTGTGAGACAGAGGTTCCAAGACCCACGCGACGAAGCGGAGATTCTGCCTCAGGCGCATCCATTCCGATCTCCCTCCTCCTCGAGCTGCTGCACACCGCGCAGGGGCTGCTCAGGGGCAGAGGCCATGGAGGCCCTGTGAGCACAGCTTCCAACGAGGCCAGCAGGACCCTGAACACAACAGCGGAAGCGGGTAAAGGGGAAACCTGCAGCTTCAACCTCCTACGTCTGCAGTTTGCAATGAAAGGAAAACAGAAAGAGCCTAATAGAAGCACACGCACATTCAGGGCCTTCCTCTCTATGGCGCTGGGCCCTTCCTGCCCACGGAGTGAACTCACTTCTCTTCCCAAGGAGGAGACCCAGGTGCTGCGGCTCATGTCTTGGTGACAGGACAGAGTTCCTAGGCTCCTCAGGACGGCTCCTGAGCGCCACCGCCCAGCGCTTCATGGCGGAGGAATGAGGCTAGGATGTGCGGCTTTCTGAAGTATAATTTCTGTGAGGCCAGGGATGTTTGCATGTATTCATTCTCTGAAGTAGGCCAGCAAAACAGTGAGCAAAGACTTTTGGACCTTGTTTGTGTGACATAGAAGGGAGAATGCTGATGTCATATTTCTGGGGCTGGTATTTTACTGTGAGCTCTTTATTTTAAATCCATAGCTCATGTTATTTGATGGATATACAGCTTCACAAATCACATAACCACTAGCACATAGAGCCCCAAGAATGCTGACGATATTCTGCATGTCAGTGGTGTTTCAGGCTCTTGGCATGATAGATCTGACAGGCAAATATTTATTTGACACACAGGGAAGCAATCACCCACTTATCTGGGTAAATACAGGATGTACCACCCTTAGCTGTATATTTCATTGGTCTAGACCAGTAAAGATTCATCAGAAGTGACATTTCTACAGGGAAGGATCGTGGCTTGACCAATTCAATACAGAGTATGTGGCACTAGTAAGATTCTGAATTAATACAGGTCTTGGGTTAATGAGCTCTGTTACCCGATAATTTATTTATTAACTGGATATCCAGTTTTATTTCTGTTGCAGAACTCAGTGCTCCATATGGTATCTGTAATGGCAGCTGATGCATCAAATGTTTACTGAACGCACACCCGACACTGTTCTAAGCACTTTGACATATTGCCTTATTTAATTCTCTGTTTTATGTGACAGGTACTGTAAGTACCACTGTTAGAGGCCCAAAGAAACAGGGCTATTAAATGGAAGGGCTGAGATACAAACCTATGTAATCTGAGGACAGAGTCCCTGCTTATAATCAACGATGCTGCATTGTCTCTTGTTCAACTACATCACCGTAAGTGGCAAGTCTACGTCAGTAGCAACATCCAACATTCTGGAGTCTTTTGGGAGAAGCTGGGGTGACTGGAATCCCCAAAGGCAGAGAATATCAGAGCTGGAGGGGACCTGAGGCATCATCCAAGGCTGCAGCTCTGCTTCCCTTCCTAAATCCTTGTCCCTTTCTTGGTTTCTAACCACCGGAACATCCCAGTGACCCCCTTCTCTCCGATGCCCTTGCTCTCTTCCTAGGTGACCCTATCCACTCTGGCTCTATATGTCAACGGCCCTCAATCTACAGGCGGCACATTGGTGTAAACTGCCTCTAGAGACCCCCACTCTCATGTCTAATAGGCACGCCAGGTACGACAGGCCAAAGTCAAATGGCCCATCCATCCCTCTGTTCTCCCCCCAGGAAATCAGAACACCACACAGCTCAGCTGCAAGCCGTCCAGCCCTGCCCGACTGCTCCTTCTGCCTGACTCAGCGCAGCTTTCCGACTTCATGCTACGTCTGACTTCTCTCCACCCCACTTACCACCCGAATGGAGCCACCATCACCTCCTGCCTGGGTACTTAACAGACTCCTACATAATTGAGCTTCTTCAGCCTCGGTCCTTCTACAGTCCGTTCTCTGTGCTGCAGCCACAGCGCTCATGATGAGGTGTCAGTCGGATCCCTCGCGCCTCTGCATAAACGCTCAGGCGGCTTCCCGCATCTCTCAAGGGGAAAGCCCGCGCCCTCCCTGTCTTCTGCGAGGCGCCCACAAGTCACCTGTGCCCCGTTTCTCTAAACCCATCCCATTCCGCTCTAGCCAGACTGGCCCTCTTGCTGTTTTTGAAACACACCAAACTTACTTCCATTTTAGAGCTTCAGACTTGGTATTTTCTCAGCCCAGCGTGATCTGAAGCCACGTAATTTCACGGCTGCTCCCCCAGCTGACAGCAGTACCGGCTCAAACGCCACGCCCTCTGGAGGCCTCCTCTGACCAGGGTTCCTAGGACCAGCCCTCCGTCATGCCCGGTGCCCTCCTGGTTCACTACTCTTCATGATGCCCGTCGCCACCTGGCACTCTGGCACGTGGTTCACTCGTTTACGGCCTGTTTCCCACGACAGATTAAAGTTCTGCGACGGCAGGGACACTTTCTTCTCACACTCACCTTTAATCTCTGGCACTCTGTGACCTCTCGGCACACACCAGGTGGCCGCTCAATGTTAGCTGAATGAACATGTTGTCTGTGGGGCACCTTTAGCTGATGAGGCTGCAGCTCAGAGAGCCCAGTGGCCACATGCCTGGTAGAGGCAGGGCTGGAACAGATACACTGGCCGCTGTATTATGTCTCTGCATTGACTCTCTAAATACCCAATATTTCTTTTTCATAATTGTAATCTGCCAAATGACACTTACCAGGCTTGCAAGGGAGGCTGAAAGCAAGTAATGTTTTGCTTATGGATGGCTTCGCACTTGGCACTTTTAGCAACACAGTAGAAGTGTAATAAAAATAATAATGACGGCAATTATCCCCGTTTAGGGTTAACGTGCAGATCAGCAACTGTTGGTGTTTCGAGGCTTTCTCTGGACCAAGGCTCATACTCTTGCCTTGGCGAGGAAAGCTGATGCACCGGAGCGCCACACCTCAGTCCCCCACAGCTGCCGGACTCACCGCAGCCCAGTTAGCACGTGATTCTTACTTACTTTCCAGAATACTGAGCTCCACCTGTTAGGTGACCTCTGGATCTGGAAATCCTCCTCATAGTCCCAGATCGAGGTGGTACAGTCCTCATAAAACTGGTGCAGGTAGGACCGGACTCCGTAGCGCGGGGACCCGCCCTCAGCAGCGGCCGGTGCCTGCTGGGACCCGCGGGTGCTGCCGCGCGCACTCATCCTTCCCCAGCTGGAACGACAACAGCCACAGGCATCAGCCCATGAACTCCGGCCTCAGGATCAAAAGGCACGTCAAAGGTGAGGGTCAGGCTAACGTCAGTCTCTGTAAATAGTGCTCTTAAGAGAAAAGGTACTTTTAAGGACCTGCCTTTCTTAGAAGCTGCTTTTTTCTCCTTAATGCAAAATTGCTGCAATCACTCAACGACTTGAACTGGTTTCCCACTAATGAAACGGACGTAATAGCACAGATCATTTACATTATGTGAGAATTTAAGCATGAAGCACATGAGAAATGGCAACGAGGAAACTGACACTTTCATCGTCTAGGCAAGAAATCTTTCGTCTCTTCAAGCGCAGTGCCCGCACACCTCCATGCTGGGGAAGAGCCGGGCGCCCGCCGGCTGCACGGAGCCTGCCTGGGGCTCTCCTCTCGGCTGCTCAGCCTCGCCCTCTGCTGGAGACGACACGGCGTTACTCTTAGCGGCTTGAGATTTTGCCTTCGGATCCCATGTATTTCTTTCACATTTTAACTAACTGTCAGGTTGCACAGAAGTGTAACTAAAAAGCTGCTGAGCAACTTACACTTCAAGCTCATTAATCACAAATGGCTTACACCTCCCTGCCTCTAACACCAGGTACTCAGTCATCACTTGTGGATAGATCTGCCCACGTAGGATGTGAGGATATAATGCACAGGGGAGACCCAGCCCTTCATTATTCCCCTTGAACATAAGAATTCAGAGGATGGTTAAAGGAAACTATGCTCTGGGTGAGTTGTTTGGGACTCTGCCTTCTTAAGATGGAAACTTCTACTGGATTTGACTTAATCAAGACCTTAAGAGAGAGGCATTTAGTAATGGATTCTTGGTAAAAAAAAAAAAAAAAAAAAAGCAACTACTGAGGGCTGCCGGATTTGGTGGGCAAGGAAATCCTCAGTAATTGTTTGCTTTCTGGTTTTCTGATGTCCACACAGGCAGAGAAATGTGGAGCCAGAAATGTGAAATGCCTTTTCAGTTCCTTCAGTCAGCCTCTAGGTCATTTTCCCGTCCATGTTCTTGCAAATGGTAGGATTGATGACAGATGACATCAATCTGTGGACAGATGACAACAGGAGGAGCGACACGGGAGGGGACCTGTTCTCCCACTGAAACTGGTTCTTTCTGGATCTGTGCTACAATCCAGGCTAACAGAAGACATGCTAAATGTTTCCAGTTACTCATCAAGAAACCAAGGAGTTCTCCAAAGAAAAAATCCAGATGGCCAACAGGCACATGAAAAGATGCTCCACTTCACTAATTATCAGGGAAATGCAAATTAAAACCACAATGAGATATCACCTCACACCAGTAAGGATGGCCAGCATCGAAAAGACTAAGAACAACAAATGCTGGTGAGGATGTGGAGAAAGGGGAACCCTCCTACCCTGCTGGTGGGAATGTAAGCTAGTTCAACCATTGTGGAAAGCAATATAGGGGTTCCTCAAAAAACTAAAAATAGAAATACCATTTGACTCAGGAATTCCACTCCTAGGAATTTACTCAAAGGAAACAATTTCTCAGGTTCAAGAAGACATGTGCACCCCTATATATTGCAGCACTATTTCAATAGCCAAGATATGGAAGCAACCTAAGTGTCCATCAGTAGATGAATGGATAAAGAAGATGTGGTACATATACAGAATGGAATACTATTCAGCCTTTAGAAGAAAATAAATCCTACCATTTGCAACAACATGGATGGAGCTAGAGGGTATTATGCTCAGTGAAATAAGTCAGGCAGAGAAGGACAAATACCAGATGATTTCCCTCATTTTTGGAGTATAACAACAAAGCAAAACTGAAGGAGCAAAACAGCAGCAGACTCACAGACTCCAAGAAGGGACTAGTGGTTACCAAAGGGGAGGGTGGGGAGAGCGTGGGGTGAGGAAAGGAGAAGGGGATTGTGGGGTATCATGATTGGTGCACATGGTATGTGTGGGGGGTCACGGGTGAGACAGCGTAGCACAGAGACCGGTAGTGACTCTGTGGCATCTTACTACACTGATGGACAGTGACTGCAATGGGGTGTCTGGGGGGGACTCGATAATAAGGGTGAATGTCGCAACCACATTGTTTTTTCTTGTGAAACCTTCATAAGAATGTATGTCACTGAGGAGTAATGTTTTTCTACAAGGAAGAGATTTAGTCTAAGTTCTAGCAAGTGTCCCTGTGGGGCCATTTTGTCTGGTTGGATGGGGCTAAAATAAAAGTTGAAGCCCTTGAGTTAACATTTCCCTGTCAAACGGCCACAAAGTGAATCCATAAGAATAGTGTAATATGTACCCTTAGCCACAAATGAGTTTCATTAGAAAATGTAGTGAGATTCAGGAAAATATGGCCCTGACCTTAGGCAATGATACACACAGGTGCTGCTAATGGTGAACGAGGGCCCATCTCCTTAAGTGTCAGCCCTTGATGCTTAGTGCCTCTTGCAGAGAGGCGACCACCTAAAAAACCATGGGGGAGGGGAGGATTATTTTTTCTTAGTTTTGTACGTTTCAGGATATTAGTTCATAAAACATTAAGATTTTAGAATGTACTTTGCCGATTAGAGCAACAAAGTGTGGTGGCTCAGATTCTCGTTAACCTGGTTTTCATACTTTAAATGCCAGAACTACGTGTCTGGTCCCATTTATTTAGTTCTTACAGTGCAGATGACTAATAAGGGCCTAACTAGTGATGTGCGTAAGCAGAACAATGTTAAAGGCACTTCCTCTTAAGACATCCTAATAAGCTTCAGCCAGGGGGAGACGGGATCAGTATTACTAATTCTGCTTCGTCACTGAGGAAACTGAGGCAAAGAAAAATCATCTGCTGAAGGTTCCACCGTGACGCAGGGCGGATGCAAAGTGACAGTCCAGTGAGCAGGCGTGCATCGTCAGAACCAGCTCATTCAGCTATATATTCTCAGGTTTTCTATAAAGCACTAGAGACTTTAACACGAAAAGAAGACAGAAGTAGATATGCTACGAGTAAAAGGATCCCTCACAGCAACAGTGAGTCATTTTCTGTGATGCTGAAGTCACTCCGTCTCAGGACCACACTTAGATGCAGAGCAGGACCATGAGACATACTGTAGCTGCTCCCTGCCCAGGTTGGCTCTGGCACAGTAGGGCTACATGTTCCCTGCGTGACAGGTGAAATGCTTCTGCTTTACAGGATGAGACTCACTAGCCCAACCTTGTTGAACATAGTATAGGCAAAATCATAAAAGATGTAGTGTCATAATATAGCAAATGTTTTTGAGCTGAGTGATGGGAGGCTCTTCCCTAAGGATGGATTTTAGTGACGTTACATTCCGGAAAACGAATCCTGGTGAGCTTTATTTTCTCCCCCAGGTGAGCATGGCTGGCACTTGCTGACTACACAGAGCGAAGCACGGGCTCTAATGCTCATTCCTGATCTACAGTGGGTTCCTTTGTTCTCCCTGGAGGATGTTCTAGGTGCTGATGGTGAGGATCCACACGTGGTTTTCTTCTCCTTATAATCTATCGTATCTATCCTGATTACACAGTTATACAGGAGTGCATACTCCGTTCTTGCCGACCCAGCACACCTACCACGGGAAACCCCAAACCTGCAGGAGGTTTCCTACACCAGCACAGCAAACAGGAGCCCCTATCACTCTTTACGCCTCCCCCCAAATCTGTTCCTCTTAGCACTGTGTGCTGCCTGATACCCACTACGTGCTCTACCTCTTTGCAGTCTGACAGACTGTACACGAGAGACTGTAAGCCTCACAGGGACGGGACTTCTTCGGTTCTGTTTACCACCCGAACACCAAGCACTCTGAAGCAAGCTGCTTGGCACGGAGTCCTATGTGGGTCGCTGTGGATGACGACAAGTGGCCGTCCTTTGTTATCCCTCCCTTCCTTCAGTGTTTTTAAGCACGAATTATGTGCCTGGTTCTGTGACTAATGGCTACAAAGATTAGTGGGGCCCAGTCTGCTTCCGTGGGCTCTTGAATCAGAGGGAGAGACACCCCCGACACAGGCAGCGCAGCACGCCGGGCCCATCAGTCATCGTGACCTCTGTGCGCAACGGCGCGCTGTGCTCTAGGCTACCATGGCACTTACATTTAAGTCTACTACATGCAGTTACTTTTTATGTGAAATGATCATAGCCATGAAAACAGCAATTAGTTCTTATACCTCATGAAACTGTAAGACCATCACAGACTTAACATTATGTGTCTTCATGGTCTCCTTGAGAGAAGAGAGGCAGAAAACTGAGGCACCAACAGGGTGTTTCCCCACGGCTCCATGTGTGAGTCCTTGTGAGGCAGACACAGGTCCTGTTCTGTTTATTCTCTTTGAAATACCTTTCAATTTTCATATGCTTTTCTCTCCTGCAAAATCATCTGAGATAACGAGAGCGAACTTCCCACTGGGCCAGGACAGCCAGGTCTACAGGCACATAACTGATGGAGACCATTTATCCAGCCCCAAACCAGAAAGGTCAATTCGCTTAAAAGACTCAGTTGGACTCAGAGCTGCTCAGAAGGTATGGAAACCTGCTAATAGCTTTTTCATTTTTAAATCAGGCATTTCGTA